AAGTATAAATCCTTTTTACTTTTTAAATCAAAAAGTTTTAAAGGCAGATCTCCCAGATGAAAAGGTGAAAACACTTCCCAAGAGTTTAGGACTGCGTGATGTATTGGCGAATTATGCAAGCAGATCTCAGTAAGGTGGCCTTCTGCAGTTGACCAATGGTGATTTTGTCAGCACCAATTGTTTTTAAGTCCTTGCCTAGGTCTTTAGGCACAGCGCCCAGTGTGCCGAGTACCACTGGAATCACCTGCACTGGTTTATGCCAGAGTCTCTGCAGTTTGATTTTCAAGTCCTGATATCTGGTGATTTTTTCAAGTTGTTTCTCGTTGATTCTGCTGTCACCAGGTACGGCAATGTCAACGATCCACACTTTTTCTTCTCCACAATCGTGATATCCAGGGTATTGTGTTCCAAAACTTTGTTAGTCTGTATTCAGAAGTCCCACAGTAGTTTTGCATGCTCATTTTCGACCACTTTTTCAGGCTTATGATCCCATCAGTTCTTTGCTACAGGGAGATGGTAGTTGTGACACAAGTTCCAGTGGACCATCTGAGTGACTGTGTTGTGACATTGTTTGTAGTCAGTCTGAGCGATTGTCTTGCAACAACTCAGTATGTGATCGATGGTTTTGTCCGCTTCTTTGCAGAGTCTGCATTTGGGGTCATCAGCAGATTTTTCTATTCTGGCTTTGATTGCATTTGTTCTGATGGCTTGTTCTTGGGCTGTAAGAATCAGGCTTTCTGTCTCTTTCTTCAGTGTTCCGTTGGTCAACCATCACCAGGTCTTTTCCTTATCTACTTTTCCTTGGATCTTTTCAAGGAACTGTCCATGAGTGCTTTGTTACACCAGCTGTCAGCCCGAGTTTGCATCATTGTTTTCCTGTATTTATTCTTGATTTGCTACACTTTGAGCAGCTTCCTATTGTTGACCTCCATCAAAGCTGATTCAATACTGTCTTTCACATAATCTGAAAAGCAGAGCATGCTTTTCTTCTTCGGCTGTCTGCTTCACTTGCAAAAGTCCTCTGCCACCTGCTTTTCTGGGCAGATATAGCCTGTCCACGTCACTACGCAGGTGCAGTGCATAGTGTATGGTCATCAGTTTTCTCATTTTCCTATCCAGGCTGTCCAGCTCTTGTTTTTATTATTATTATTATTATTATTATTATTATTATTATTATTATTATTATTATTATTATTATTATTATTATTATTATGG